GAAATGAAATCGCATTAGACTTCTAACCCCTGCAACTCTAGTACGGGACATCCGTCCTGTACGAACAGACGCACAAATGTGTGATTACTAACTACTAACATCAAATTAATCTAATAATTCGAAGGAGGAGTATCGGTGTTCGTCTGTTCTAAATAGGACTTCGACCCGTGAGCAGCCCCCTGGGGAATTATGTCGGAAAATCCGACACCATTTAATATATCATACAGATAATAGCTGTGTTGTATAAACAAGTTACCCATAGAAAACGTAACTTGTAGTGGAATTACCGTCTAAAGAAAACGGGATATCATCACCACATACTATTATAATTCACCAGCTATTCTGCTGGGAATTATTCTTAAATACATTAGTCTTTGGACTTTACCATCATAAAAACATCTTATATAAATTAACTTAATTATCAATATTAAAGTAGAGTAAATGTGACCCTTCTATCACTTTCTGAAATCTGGACAAAGTAGGCCAGGCGTCAGTGAGGAAGGAGGGCAGCCATTGTTGTGTCACCTCCGAGACGTGTGGAGCAAATTCGGCTCCTATCATTCTGGACAATGTCGGCCAGTAACGTCAATAGTATGGAGTGTTAAACAGCCATTGTGTTTATATTGAGACCAGAGGCTCACACGGGAGCAAATTCGGCTCCTGTTAATTTTACTTGGACGTAGTGTTATGGAAACCAAAGGTACCATCTCCAACACGATGTCTACAATTCAAGTTAAGTCTATCCGAAACCCGTTTATCATTCATTTATGGCCATTAATGTCAGGATATAGGGTGACCCGGTTAGATCACGTGGAAGCCTCAAACTAAAGGTAATTAAGCCAGGTCTTCAATGTTCCATGTACAGTTTTCTCTGAAATACTTGTCATATATAGGATTCTGGCTTCACAGCTAGCGCACTTTTGACAGGTCAAGACGAGGATGCAAGATTTGTGCACCAGTTACTGGGTGATATGGAAGCTACCTCAAAGAGGATAATTTGGTGTCTACACCCTAGTTATACCTGGTGGACTAACCTGCTGTACTATAAGATAAGGAACCTCTTTAATGTATGTAGTTATTACTGTAGTTTGATTGGCTGCATATATATTAATTTAATAAACCCCCCCTAATGTGTAGAGGATCGATTTGTGAGATTATGAGATTATTGCAGAAATACAGTCCACTTATCATTATACAAATTGCTATCGAAGTATATAAATTAACGTAAATATAACTCACGTGTCCTCTCACGTGTCCACTCACGTGTCCTCTCACGTGTCCTCTCACGTGTCCTCTCACGTGTCCACTCACGTGTCCACTCACGTGTCCACTCACGTGTCCTCTCACGTGTCCTCTCACGTGTCCACTCACGTGTCCACTCACGTGTCCTCTCACGTGTCCACTCACGTGTCCTCTCACGTGTCCACTCACGTGTCCACTCACGTGTCCTCTCACGTGTCCACTCACGTGTCCTCTCACGTGTCCTCTCACGTGTCCACTCACGTGTCCACTCACGTGTCCTCTCACGTGTCCACTCACGTGTCCTCTCACGTGTCCACTCACGTGTCCACTCACGTGTCCACTCACGTGTCCACTCACGTGTCCACTCACGTGTCCACTCACGTGTCCTCTCACGTGTCCACTCACGTGTCCACTCACGTGTCCACTCACGTGTCCTCTCACGTGTCCACTCACGTGTCCTCTCACGTGTCCACTCACGTGTCCACTCACGTGTCCACTCACGTGTCCACTCACGTGTCCGCTCACGTATTATGGCTATACACACGTAGAGATATCTGTTCACATATATGTATCAACAAAGTAACTGTTTACATTCTATGAGTTGCCTGTTTCAGGCCCACGAAGGCAACAACGTTTTCTGTGTAAAGTTGCAAAATATTTAAGACTATTATTTTCTTTTGCTATATAGTCAAATCGAAAATTATTTGTATCATACTTTAGCCCTAATAAGTATATGGTTTTGGTTATACACCCTGGGTATACCCCAAGGGGGGTATACCCCAAGGGGGGTATAGTTATACACAGGCTGACACACACACTTTCCCTTGCTCGCAAACTCCTGCAACATCATAACTACTCATCAGAGTGCTGCAACCATCTTTCATTTTTAACCTTTATCAGTAGAAGCAAATAGACAGAAGTGTTCTGAGAATGCTGGAGACGGAGGACCCAAGAAGAGAGTTACGTTATGGTTCACAAACGCCGACGATGTTACAAACAAAGCAGAGGAAGTAAAAGAAAAGGTTAACAAAACAGATACCAATTTAATTGCAATAGTGGAAACAAAAATAAATGATATGATCTCTGATGCAATAGTTCCGAGAGGACACCAAGTAATAAGGGAAACAATAAAACAAATACAAGCAAGGAGAGTTGCACTTCTTGTAAAATGGAGGTTGAACTTGAAGAAACTAGACCATCAAAATAGACCTGGACCCCCCAGCTAAGCTCCATCCCTGCTACTCTGACACCTGACAGGTGAAGAGTATGAAGAGAGACTGAAAGAACCAAACCTTACGATGCAAGACAAGAGGAGAGAGAAAGAGAGACATGACAGAGACGTATAAAATACTTAAGAGGATTGAAACAGTAGGAAAAGAGATGTAGTGAGGACATGCTATAAGCTAAAGTAACAGACTTTATATAAGTATGTTTATATAAGTATATAACTGTGTTTACAAATATATATGATAGGGAAATAAGTCAGGAATCCTTGCCATAGACAAGCGGGGTCCAGGAGCTAAGGCTTGACACATGAGAAGCGAGGGTGGTGATGAACAGGTTGGGGGGGGGGGGGGGGTGTGGGGGGGGGGAGCATTGAGAACAGATAACAACGTCTACCTCACAACAATTACACTAACGACCCAACCACCCAAGTTGAAATTTCTTGAGCAGTTAAACCTGCCCCAGGACCCCCCCCCCTGTCTCTGGCCCCCAGTGTGGCACTCTCTTGCCCCCACAACCCTCGCCCTTATGCCCCCTTTGGGGCAATTACACACACAATACATATATATATATATATATATATATATATATATATATATATATATATATATATATATATATATATATATATATATATATATATATATATATATATATATATACTCTCCGACGCCTGATTGCCAAGGCTGCTACGAGGGTTGTCAGCCAGCAAGCGGCTGAATTGCTGAAACCAATCCAGCTAGGATTTGGAATCCCCCCAAGGCTGTGAAGCGGCTGCCCATGCAGCAGGAGCATACATCACCAACATTTCTGACGAAGAGGCCCTGCTCAAACTGGACTTTAAGAATGCCTTCAACATGGTCAGAAGAGATGCAGTAATTTGTGCCGTACATCGCCATTTCCGGCCCCTCTACCCGTTCATACTATCCTGCTACAGTGCAAGCGGCTGAATTGCTGAAACCAATCCAGCTAGGATTTGGAATCCCCCAAGGCTGTGAAGCGGCTGCCCATGCAGCAGGAGCATACATCACCAACATTTCTGACGAAGAGGCCCTGCTCAAACTGGACTTTAAGAATGCCTTCAACATGGTCAGAAGAGATGCAGTACTTTGTGCCGTACATCGCCATTTCCGGCCCCTCTACCCGTTCATACTATCCTGCTACAGTGGTGAGTCAACACTGCTCTTTGGTGAACGTCAAATCAGATCATGTGAAGGTGTTCAGCAAGGTGATCCTCTTGCTCCTCTTCTCTTCTGCTTAGTCTTAAAACAAATCACCGACAGCTTGTCCAGCGAGTTCAACATCTGGTGTTTGGATGATGGCACTATAGCTGGCACCATAGACCACCTCTTGGATGATATCACGGAAATATGGGAGCAAGAAGTAAGCCTGGGTATACATACAGCAGACAGCAGCAGACAGCAACAGCAGCAGACAGCAGCAGCAGCAGACAGCAGCAGACAGCAGCAGACAGCAGCAGCAGCAGACAGCAGCAGCAGACAGCAATAGCAGCAGCAGCAGACAACAGTCAGCAGCAGACAGCAACAGCATCAGACAGCAGCAGCAGACAGCAACAGCAGCAGACAGCAACAGCAGCAGACAGCAGCAGCATCAGACAGCCGCAGCAGCAGACAGCATCAGACTGCAGACACCAGCAGACAGCATCAGACTGCAGACACCAGCAGACAGTGGCAGCAGCAGACAGTGGCAGCTCTATCTCTAACTTTGGTCATCATGAAACAACATAAATCAGCAGGATATTTATCCAGCAGAAAGTGCTGCTGGAAGTTATTATGAGAGAGGAGCAGACATCTTGAGCCCTCAGCAGCCTCCAGCAGCCATCACCCTCACATCTCAACACCAAATAATTACCAACAATCATAAATAATCTCAAATTAATATTACTGCTAAACTCTATATCTATTAAATCTAAATTAAATACAACTCTATACTTTATTTTTTGTTTTAATCTGCGCATATAATTCTCGATAGTACAAAAAATAATAAAAAAATAGTACTACTACTAATAATAATAATTCACAGTCGAGTGATATAGTATGAAGAGATTTTTCTGTGGTGGGTCATGATGTGACAGTGTCACCCGGCCATGTTGTGCACGGACCCAATAGCAATTACTATGAAAAATTGTATGACGCTAGCCCCAGACATCTGACTTTCACCATCGAACAGACATTCAGACGGACATTTTCATTAATAGTTAGAGATTTATTTATATTTTTGGATAAAATACAATTATTTTAAATTATTATTAAAATTATAGAATTACTATTATAATTATTTTTAGACCTATTTAACAGGATGCCATTTAGACCTGACTATAAGGAGAGGTGAACTACTGGGGATCCACAGGTTGCAACCCACAACAGCTGCCTAAATCAGAGGAACCTAGTTAGTGTCAGGGTGAACAGAGGCATCAGGTACAAGAAGAGGAGCCCAAACGTCTCGTCCTTACCGAGCATGTAACACGGGACCCTTGTTATGGGAGCCCGCACGTCCTCAATGAAAGATAACCATCAATCAATTACTTTTATAATTCTGCGGGCGATTGTGACGGGTGTTCGATCCCCCTTAACTAACCCCCCCCCGTCCCTAACCCATCCTGTGAGTGGCAGGCAGGAGGCCGGGGTGAAGGGGGGCAGGAGGCCAGGGTGAAGGGTGGCAGGAGGCCGGGGTGAAGGGGGGCAGGAGGCCGGGGTGAAGGGGGACAGGAGGCCAGGGTGAAGGGTGGCAGGAGGCCGGGGTGAAGGGGGGCAGGAGGCCAGGGTGAAGGGTGGCAGGAGGCCGGGGTGAAGGGGGGCAGGAGGCCGGGGTGAAGGGGGGCAGGAGGCCAGGGTGAAGGGTGGCAGGAGGCCGGGGTGAAGGGGGGCAGGAGGCCGGGGTGAAGGGTGGCAGGTGGCCGGGGTGAAGGGTGGCAGGAGGCCGGGGTGAAGGGGGGCAGGAGGCCGGGGTGAAGGGGGGCAGGAGGCCGGGGTGAAGGGGGGCAGGAGGCCGGGGTGAAGGGGGGCAGGAGGCCGGGGTGAAGGGGGGCAGGAGGCCAGGGTGAAGGGTGGCAGGAGGCCGGGGTGAAGGGTGGCAGGAGGCCAGGGTGAAGGGTGGCAGGAGGCCGGGGTGAAGGGGGGCAGGAGGCCGGGGTGAAGGGTGGCAGGTGGCCGGGGTGAAGGGTGGCAGGAGGCCGGGATGAAGGGTGGCAGGAGGCCAGGGTGAAGGGTGGCAGGAGGCCAGGGTGAAGGGTGGCAGGAGGCCAGGGTGAAGGGTGGCAGGAGGCCAGGGTGAAGGGTGGCAGGAGGCCGGGGTGAAGGGTGGCAGGAGGCCGGGGTGAAGGGTGGCAGGTGGCCGGGGTGAAGGGGGGCAGGTGGCCGGGGTGAAGGGTGGCAGGAGGCCGGGGTGAAGGGTGGCAGGAGGCCGGGGTGAAGGGTGGCAGGAGGCCGGGGTGAAGGGGGGCAGGAGGCCGGGGTGAAGGGTGGCAGGAGGCCGGGGTGAAGGGGGGCAGGAGGCCGGGGTGAAGGGCGGCAGGAGGCCAGGGTGAAGGGCGGCAGGAGGCCGGGGTGAAGGGTGGCAGGTGGCCGGGGTGAAGGGTGGCAGGAGGCCAGGGTGAAGGGTGGCAGGAGGCCGGGGTGAAGGGTGGCAGGAGGCCGGGGTGAAGGGTGGCAGGAGGCCGGGGTGAAGGGTGGCAGGAGGCCGGGGTGAAGGGTGGCAGGAGGCCGGGGTGAAGGGTGGCAGGAGGCCGGGGTGAAGGGTGGCAGGAGGCCGGGGTGAAGGGTGGCAGGAGGCCGGGGTGAAGGGGGGCAGGAGGCCGGGGTGAAGGGGGGCAGGTGGCCGGGGTGAAGGGTGGCAGGAGGCTGGGTGAAGGGTGGCAGGAGGCCGGGGTGAAGGGTGGCAGGAGGCCGGGGTGAAGGGGGGCAGGAGGCCAGGGTGAAGGGAGGCAGGAGGCCGGGGTGAAGGGTGGCAGGAGGCCGGGGTGAAGGGTGGCAGGAGGCCGGGGTGAAGGGGGGCAGGAGGCCGGGGTGAAGGGTGGCAGGAGGCCGGGGTGAAGGGGGGCAGGAGGCCGGGGTGAAGGGGGGCAGGTGGCCGGGGTGAAGGGTGGCAGGAGGCCGGGGTGAAGGGTGGCAGGAGGCCGGGGTGAAGGGTGGCAGGAGGCCGGGGTGAAGGGCGGCAGGAGGCCGGGGTGAAGGGTGGCAGGAGGCCGGGGTGAAGGGCGGCAGGAGGCCGGGGTGAAGGGGGCAGGAGGCCGGGGTGAAGGGGGGCCGGTGGCCGGGGTGAAGGGTGGCAGGAGGCCGGGGTGAAGGGTGGCAGGAGGCCGGGGTGAAGGGTGGCAGGAGGCCGGGGTGAAGGGCGGCAGGAGGCCGGGGTGAAGGGTGGCAGGAGGCCGGGGTGAAGGGTGGCAGGAGGCCGGGTGAAGGGTGGCAGGAGGCCGGGGTGAAGGGCGGCAGGAGGCCGGGGTGAAGGGGGGCAGGAGGCCAGGGTGAAGGGGGGCAGGTGGCCGGGGTGAAGGGGGGCAGGAGGCCGGGGTGAAGGGTGGCAGGAGGCCGGGGTGAAGGGTGGCAGGAGGCCGGGGTGAAGGGTGGCAGGAGGCCGGGGTGAAGGGTGGCAGGAGGCCGGGGTGAAGGGCGGCAGGAGGCCGGGGTGAAGGGTGGCAGGAGGCCGGGGTGAAGGGGGGCAGGAGGCCGGGGTGAAGGGTGGCAGGAGGCCGGGGTGAAGGGCGGCAGGAGGCCGGGGTGAAGGGGGGCAGGAGGCCAGGGTGAAGGGGGGCAGGTGGCCGGGGTGAAGGGGGTCAGGAGGCCGGGGTGAAGGGTGGCAGGAGGCCGGGGTGAAGGGTGGCAGGAGGCCGGGGTGAAGGGCGGCAGGAGGCCGGGGTGAAGGGGGGCAGGTAAGACTGGTGTCATGAGTCACGGAAGGTGTTGTGTGACACCTTTGTCACAACCTGTTCCTGTGTGGTGTGGAGCACCCGACTTGCGTGAGCTCCCTCGCCCAGACTGGCGCCACACTGCCTCCTCCTGCTACTGTTGTTCCTGCTGCTGTTCCTGTTCCTGCTGCTGTTCCTGCTCCTGTTGTTCCTCCTGCTGTTCCTGCTACTGTTGTTCCTGCTCCTCCTGCTACTGTTGTTCCTGCTCCTGCTGCTGGTTCGGTTCCTGCTGCTGTTCCTGCTCCTGTTGTTCCTCCTGCTGTTCCTGCTCCTACTGCTGCTGTTCCTGCTGCTGTTCCTGCTCCTGCTGCTGGCTCTGTTCCTGCTGCTGTTCCTCCAGTTGTTCCTGCTGCCGTTCCTGCTCCTGCTGTTCCTGCTCCTGCTGTTCCTGCTGCTGTTCCTGCTGCTGTTCCTGCTCCTGCTGTTCCTGCTGTTCCTGCTGCTGTTCCTGCTGCTGCTGGTTATCGAGTGTTATTAAGGTCATCAACCCATGGCAGGGTTGAGGCCTCCATAGTAACTAGACTCACGTCGTGAACACCGGTCATTACTATGCTACACCTCTCTGTATACACCAGGAAGGTCACTACACCTACTGTATACACCAGGAAGGTCACTACACCTCTCTGTATACACCAGGAAGGTCACTACACCTCTCTGTATACACCAGGAAGGTCACTACACCTCTCTGTATACACCAGGAAGGTCACTACACCTCTCTGTATACACCAGGAAGGTCACTACACCTCTCTGTATACACCAGGAAGGTCACTACACCACACTGTATATACCAGGAAGGTCACTACACCTCTCTGTATATACCAGGAAGGTCACTACACCACACTGTATACACCAAGAAGGTCACTACACCTCTCTGTATACACCAGGAAGGTCACTACACCACACTGTATACACCAGGAAGGTCACTACACCTCACTGTATACACCAGGAAGGTCACTACACCACACAGTATACACCAGGAAGGTCACTACACCACACAGTATACACCAAGAAGGTCACTACACCTCACTGTATACACCAGGAAGGTCACTACACCACACAGTATACACCAGGAAGGTCACTACACCACACAGTATACACCAAGAAGGTCACTACACCACACAGTATACACCAAGAAGGTCACTACACCACACAGTATACACCAGGAAGGTCACTACACCACACTGTATACACCAGGAAGGTCACTACACCACACTGTATACACCAAGAAAGTCACTACACCACACAGTATACACCAAGAAGGTCACTACACCACACTGTATACACCAAGAAGGTCACTACACCACACTGTATACACCAGGAAGGTCACTACACCACACTGTATACACCAGGAAGGTCACTACACCTCTCTGTATACACCAGGAAGGTCACTACACCTCTCTGTATACACCAGGAAGGTCACTACACCTCTCTGTATACACCAGGAAGGTCACTACACCTCTCTGTATACACCAGGAAGGTCACTACACCTCTCTGTATACACCAGGAAGGTCACTACACCTCTCTGTATACACCAGGAAGGTCACTACACCTCTCTGTATACACCAGGAAGGTCACTACACCACACTGTATATACCAGGAAGGTCACTACACCTCTCTGTATACACCAGGAAGGTCACTACACCACACTGTATACACCAGGAAGGTCACTACACCTCTCTACACCAGGAAGGTCACTACACCACACAGTATACACCAGGAAGGTCACTACACCACACTGTATACACCAGGAAGGTCACTACACCACACTGTATACACCAGAAGGTCACTACACCACACTGTATACACCAGGAAGGTCACTACACCACACTGTATACACCAGGAAGGTCACTACACCACACAGTATACACAGGAAGGTCACTACACCTCACAGGAAGGTCACTACACCACACAGTATACACCAGGAAGGTCACTACACCACACAGTATACACCAAGGAGGTCACTGTATACACCAGGAAGGTCACTACACCACACTGTATACACCAGGAAGGTCACTACACCACACTACACCAGTATACACCAAGAAGGTCACTACACCACACAGTATACACCAGGAAGGTCACTACACCACACTGTATACACCAGGAAGGTCACTACACCACACAGTATACACCAGGAAGGTCACTACACCACACAGTATACACCAAGAAGGTCACTACACCACACAGTATACACCAGGAAGGTCACTACACCACACAGTATACACCAAGAAGGTCACTACACCACACAGTATACACCAGGAAGGTCACTACACCACACAGTATACACCAAGAAGGTCACTACACCACACAGTATACACCAAGAAGGTCACTACACCACACAGTATACACCAGGAAGGTCACTACACCACACAGTATACACCAGGAAGGTCACTACACCTCACAGTATACACCAGGAAGGTCACTACACCTCACAGTATACACCAGGAAGGTCACTACACCACACAGTATACACCAGGAAGGTCACTACACCACACAGTATACACCAGGAAGGTCACTACACCACACTGTATACACCAGGAAGGTCACTACACCACACTGTATACACCAGGAAGGTCACTACACCACACAGTATACACCAAGAAGGTCACTACACCACACAGTATACACCAGGAAGGTCACTACACCACACAGTATACACCAGGAAGGTCACTACACCACACAGTATACACCAGAAGGTCACTACACCACACAGTATACACCAAGAAGGTCACTACACCACACAGTATACACCAGGAAGGTCACTACACCACACAGTATACACCAGGAAGGTCACTACACCACACAGTATACACCAAGAAGGTCACTACACCACACTGTATACACCAGGAAGGTCACTACACCTCACTGTATACACCAGGAAGGTCACTACACCACACAGTATACACCAGGAAGGTCACTACACCACACAGTATACACCAGGAAGGTCACTACACCTCACAGTATACACCAAGAAGGTCACTACACCACACAGTATACACCAGGAAGGTCACTACACCACACAGTATACACCAAGAAGGTCACTACACCACACAGTATACACCAGGAAGGTCACTACACCACACAGTATACACCAGGAAGGTCACTACACCACACAGTATACACCAAGAAGGTCACTACACCACACAGTATACACCAGGAAGGTCACTACACCACACAGTATACACCAGGAAGGTCACTACACCACACTGTATACACCAGGAAGGTCACTACACCACACAGTATACACCAGGAAGGTCACTACACCACACTGTATACACCAGGAAGGTCACTACACCACACAGTATACACCAAGAAGGTCACTACACCACACAGTATACACCAGGAAGGTCACTACACCACACAGTATACACCAGGAAGGTCACTACACCACACAGTATACACCAGGAAGGTCACTACACCACACTGTATACACCAGGAAGGTCACTACACCACACAGTATACACCAGGAAGGTCACTACACCTCACAGTATACACCAGGAAGGTCACTACACCACACTGTATACACCAGGAAGGTCACTACACCACACTGTATACACCAGGAAGGTCACTACACCCACAGTATACACCAAGAAGGTCACTACACCACACAGTATACACCAGGAAGGTCACTACACCACACTGTATACACCAGGAAGGTCACTACACCACACAGTATACACCAGGAAGGTCACTACACCACACAGTATACACCAGGAAGGTCACTACACCACACTGTATACACCAGGAAGGTCACTACACCTCACTGTATACACCAGGAAGGTCACTACACCACACAGTATACACCAGGAAGGTCACTACACCACACAGTATACACCAGGAAGGTCACTACACCAGGAAGGTCACAGTATACACCAGGAAGGTCACTACACCACACAGTATACACCAGGAAGGTCACTACACCACACAGTATACACCAGGAAGGTCACTACACCACACAGTATACACCAGGAAGGTCACTACACCACAGTATACACCAGGAACACTACACCACACAGTATACACCAGGAAGGTCACTACACCAGTATACACCTGTATACACCAGGAAGGTCACTACACCACACTGTATACACCAGGAAGGTCACTACACCACTCTGTATACACCAGGAAGGTCACTACACCACACTGTATACACCAGGAAGGTCACTACACCACACTGTATACACCAGGAAGGTCACTACACCACACTGTATACACCAGGAAGGTCACTACACCACACTGTATACACCAGGAAGGTCACTACACCACACTGTATACACCAGGAAGGTCACTACACCACACTGTATACACCAGGAAGGTCACTACACCACACTGTATACACCAGGAAGGTCACTACACCACACTGTATACACCAGGAAGGTCACTACACCACACTGTATACACCAGGAAGGTCACTACACCACACTGTATACACCAAGAAGGTCACTACACCACACTGTATACACCAGGAAGGTCACTACACCACACTGTATACACCAAGAAGGTCACTACACCACACAGTATACACCAGGAAGGTCACTACACCTCTCTGTATACACCAGGAAGGTCACTACACCACACAGTATACACCAGGAAGGTCACTACACCACACAGTATACACCAGGAAGGTCACTACACCACACAGTATACACCAGGAAGGTCACTACACACACAGTATACACCAGGAAGGTCACTACACCACACTGTATACACCAGGAAGGTCACTACACCACACTGTATACACCAGGAAGGTCACTACACCACACTGTATACACCAGGAAGGTCACTACACCACACAGTATACACCAAGAAGGTCACTACACCCACACAGTATACACCAGGAAGGTCACTACACCACACAGTATACACCAGGAAGGTCACTACACCACACTGTATACACCAGGAAGGTCACTACACCACACACACCAGGAAGGTCACTACACCACACAGTATACACCAGGAAGGTCACTACACCACACAGTA